CGGATGTCCCATCCTGGGCAAGTGGGTGTCTACCCTATTCTGGAGTTTGGCACAAAGCTACGACCTGCAGACGGCAGTTTGTGTGTGTGTGTGTGTGTGTGTGTGTGTGTGTGTGTGTGTGTGTGTGTGTGTGTGTGCGTGTCAGAACGGGGGAGATTGCCCCCTTTTTCCGGGGAGTATGTGATGAGTTCTGAGGACAAGTCCGAGCTCGCAGCGGCCTCCACCTGCGTGAGCGCGGGTGTCAGCAACGGGGTGCGGCTCCTGAAGAACAGGCGGGGGCTTTCTGGGGCGACGAGGGCTGACATGGACCGAGCCTCGCCGAAGAAATCGGTACCTGAAACCAAATCGAAGTGAGCGCCCAAACATGGTTGTTGTTGTGAAACATTTTGCATTTTTGCTTATTGTGGTTAGTGGGAAATCCCCCACTTAACTGCTAAAGATTAAATTGTTGCTCCCCTTCCAACGTCAACCAAGCAAAACCCCCAAGAAGATGATCGAAAAACGAAACGGGCGGCCGGATCTCGATGGGTTTTGAGCACCGGTTTTGTGTCTTGCCTGGAGCAAGATGTCCAAAAGCGCTTCGCGATTGCCAGGCATGGGCAGGCAGTGGGCACCGGATCCTGCTGTGGCTCTGAGACCAACCAGGCATGGCCTGTGGTCGCGAGGTGTCAGTGCTGTTGGTACTCAGGAAGGTTTTTTCTCCTTGAAAAAAAAAGTGCTGCGAACTTTTCGGCTTAAAGGATTCCTGGCATATTTTCAAGTTTGTTGGCTGCCTCGCATACTCTCTCTCTCTCTCTCCCTCTCTCCCTCTCTCCCTCTCCCCCTCTCTCTCTCTCTCCCTCTCTCTCTCTCTATCTCTCTTTCTCTCTCTCTCTCTTTCTCTCTCTCTCCCTCCCTCCCCTCCCTCCCTCCCTCCCTCCCTCCCTCCCTCCCTCCCTCCCTCCCTCCCTCCCTCCCTCCCTCTCTCGCTCTCTCTCTGTCTCGCACACATATTGCACTAATCCAGTTGAGGCCTAAGACCGTGAAATTTTGGGTGCAGTGGTTCTGGCTGTGCTCTTTTCGTGCAGAGAGCCAAAGACGCTTTGAATGTGACTGCCTTCGCAGGACTCTAGAATTGGTATTTGACGCGCCGCTGAATGAATGCTGTGGCACGTACTAGTGTGCGGCAGGGTGTGTATGTGTGTGTGTGTGTGTGTGCGCGTATGAAGCCTGTGACGGCTGCAATTTTTGAGGAGACAAGCGCCTGAACCCCAAATGGCAGAGCACCACGGTAGCTGCTAGCTTTTCTCATGGCGATGGTGAAGAGGTTATTGGCCTTGAGAGCGAGCTTCTTCCAACTGATGAACCTACGTATGGTTGAGAGATATTCTTTGAGCAAAGGTGGCAACTGTGATCCAGGAACATTTCTTGTTTGGAGGGTTTCACTGAGCCACCGCCCGCTTTGCCTTTGCCAGGTGCTGAAGTCGACGCCAGTGAAGTGCGACGGTTACGTGGACTCCTACACCACCTACGAGAATCAGTACTTGACGGCGGGGGGGCAGAAGCGGTCGGGCTGGGGGATGCTGTGCGCGCTGAGTTGCTGCGCCTGGCCCCATGACGATATGGATCAAGGATGTATGTCAATTGCCCCGAAGTGACCCGCAGCAGACCCAAATGAACACAGACAAACACACACACACACATACACGCACAAACACACACCTGGCACCGAGAGTTCAGAATGTGTTGTTTGCTGATCGTTCTTTGCTTGCCTAACGTGCCTTGCGTTGCCTTGCCTTGCTTTCTGTCAGGGAAGTGCATCCAGAAAATCACTTGCTTCCTGCTCTTTGACAGAGCTTCAGCTCTCCAGATCAAGGGCTGTTGTCAAGCCAGGGGTGTAACCATCCAAAAATTATGGTCTCATATAGCCTATAGCTTTATTTTTTTGCCGGCAAGGGGTATGGTTTGCCCGTGCACGGGTTACAACCGCAAGGGTACACACTCAGGGGTGCACGACACTAGCCCTACAGCGGAGTTGACGCGAGGGATGCCGCAGCCAGACTTGAAGTGTTTTGAGACCAAACACTGCAATGGATTACATAGCACTTTTGCACTCACAATGATATGATTAGCACACACTCTCTGGAACTATTGAAGTTAATTGAGGTCACGAACCCGACACCTATTTTCACTATTGTTGTAGATTCTGCCTTGTGAGCATCGGAAGCAGTATGCAACCAAGAAGGCTCCAATCTTCCAGCAATCCTTGCTGCGGTCGCAAAATATTTATGTCCGGTTCCTCCCCCTGCAGCTTTATTGAGACCCAAGCCCACCAGTCGGCAAAGACATGTACTTGGCTACGGCTACGGGTTTTGTTGCGCGGACCATGAGGCGAATCCAAGCTCCTGGCTGAAAGCCCCCCTTCCACGCTCCCCTTCCACGCCCCACCCCCACTCTCCCCCTCCCCCCAAAAAAGAAGAGGAAAGAGCAGAAACAAAAACAAAAAGCAAAAGGACACAAATGAAACCTGACAGGGGATCCCTTTGAAAGGAAAGTAGTCTAAAACCAGGACCCCGAACGTCAGGTTCCATGAAAAAAGGGTGGGAGGGCAGCAAAAATCCACGCCAGCCACGTCAGTAGCCGGGATTCAGTTTCTGCCGGCAGGCTTCGAAGCTCATCCGCGGCACCGCCTACAAAAGCATGGCCGCAGCGCGGGCGCCGCGGCCGGAGTTGCGGGGGGCACGGGGCGGCGGAGACTGGGCGGAGGGCTTTGGGGGCTTTGAGGGAGAGGGGGGGGACAAGAACAAGTAAAGACCGTGAGACGTGTTTTTTTTTGGGGGGGGGTGTGGGGGGACCAGAACAAGTAGCGACGTGACACGTGCTTGTGGAGTTGGGGAATGCTTTCCAAGAGTGGCTGTGAAAGCAGCGTGAGCTGTGCACAGTTTGTTTGGAGTGCATGCTCTGGGTGATGGAGTGGTGGCGCTTACAAATTAGTTCTTCGTTTATTGAAGCACTTTTTTCGCAGTCTTCCCACCGGGACCTCATTTGCGACTCAACAAAGAGCTTCGTAGTGACCAGTGTTACGGCACACACTACAGACGACTTGTGTGCATCATGCACCATACTTTTTGGGGCACTATTTTGGCCTTCTGATTTCCTTCAAAGGACAACGCAAGTCCAATTGTTTCAAGGGCCATTGCAGGAATCTTGCATTAAAGCCGGCCCCCGAAAATCCCATCTAAAGGCTTCTAGTGCACGCTTTCCAGCTAGAAGCGTTTGTTTCCGTGAACATATGCGTAGAAACACGAGTTCTTGCCAGCTGAAATGAACCTTGCGCTTCCATGATTGTTGGACGTATCATTCCTGTCGAATGGTGTTCGCATTGATGTTGCCCCATCTTTGCATCAACAAGTTGGCTCGTAAACTTCTCGTAGCGTCGGTCCTCAGAGCCAACAAAGAGCGGCAACCTCAGGAAGCCTGTCTGCAGAAGGGCCACAAGTGCTGGGGCATCTTCGACGACAAGTGCGATGGCGTGAACTTGATGCTGGCAGATGGCGACCTGAACATCACAACCAGCGGCTTGACCGAAGGAGGTCTTCTGTGCTTTCCGAGAAGCAACAAAGGGAAGCTAATATGCAAAGCGAGAGTGCCATGCCCCACACTGCGGGAAGCAACGCGGAATATATCATCCAGTTGTACACAAACTCAAGCATCTAAGGGGCTTCGTAGTTGAATGCTTTTGGGACTCCTAGTTTGCTGCATCCTTGGCTCCATTTCCAGCACAGGTTGGGGAAAAGGCCCAATGACATTGTTTTGGACTCGCAACACATTTGACACGTTTGTCGGCCATGTTTTGGGGGCATGTTGGCGATCCGAAGAAGGCTCCCATCGAAGGAAAAGAGAGGCTCACAATGCTGGAGAGACCAGACGGTACTTAATCAAACTTCCCAAAATCATGCGGAACGCACATTGCTCATGGCTCAGGCTCCGTTTGCAGCGATCAGGTCTGTGGCAAAAAAGGCACTGCCTGCGGGGGAAGACATATATCACAGGGCCCAGTGCGAGCTTGCCGCTTGCAACTGCATGAGGCATGTTCCGGGACTCCAAGCAGAAATCCTGCATCTACCAGAAGAAGGCAGCGTAGGTCCGGTCCCGGCAGCGTAGGATTGCTTAGATGGCGCCCGATGTGAAAGGCGGGGCGCAGCAGTCGCAGGCGCCGCAGGCGCATGCGCTAGATTCTCCCCCGACCTCGGATCTCGGATCGCGTCGTGTCAAAAAAGAAGAAGGGCAGCAGGGGGGTTGCGGGGGACAAAGTTGGGGCGGAAGGGACAAGATGACTTTTTGAGAGGGATTCAACAAGGAGTGCTGTGAAATGGCATGTCGTGGATCCTGCTACTAACCGAAAGTTGGGGGGATGGGGGAGGACTTGTGCCTCGTTCGTACATAGTTGCCTTGATGGCCTCTGAACTGTTATTAACAATTTTGGAAGGAGATGCAAGGCTGTTTGGTGTGGCGGCTTGACTATGATGTCTTCAGCAACAGCCCAACACTTCTTGGGGCAGTTCTTTTGCAAGGGAACAGTGGAGTAATATTTTCAGGCGCACTCAGCAATTCCCAAAGGCTGAATAGAAATCAAGTCCATGGAACCAGGTGGTGTTTTAGTTCACGGCAATCACTTGAACCAAAGGCATCGCTGTTGCACTTCCTTTTGCGTCCATGAACGCCGCAGCGAAGTTTTGCCAGTCCTTTCAGACACTCATTTCACAGCTTCGTTGGCGGATTTTTCCTCGGCACTCCAGGAAGGTCTCCCAGTTCAGTTGCACCACTTCAAGTCGTATTTCTTTTCAGACCCGAAAAATTGTGGTTCTCCTTTTGGTTTCCCTTGAAAAGGAGCACCCTCAAAAAGGGGGGTTTCCCTCAAACACGGGCGCCTTTTCGGGTTTCAGGGAACCCAAAAAGGGGCAGCCTCAAAAACGCCACACCCTCAGACCGCTCGTAGCCTTCCGTGGCCCCGACCCGAG